GGTATGGATAACTTGGTGAAGTTTTGCAGCTTTTGCAAGAGACCAAAAAGACCTAGAACTACTTGGACAATTCAGCAACCTGTTTTTTATTCTTTGATTGTATGTTTCTTTAGCGGATTCAATAGTAATTTTGCAACTATTTCTGGCTTCTATAAATTCTGTGTGGTTTTGAGCGGTTTGTTGTCGTTTCCAAAGGTTATATGCTCTGTGTTTTTTCTGTACAGCCGTTTGACACTGGCTGTTGAACCAAGGTTTTGCATTAGCTCTACGTTTAGTTGTATGTGGGATATATGCATCCATTCCAGATAAGATTACTTGTGTTATTTCATTACAGCAAATAGTGGGATCAGCTGTTTTAAAGCAAACCTCTTGCCATGGAAAATCCAGGTAAAACTGTTTTAGGTCATTCCATTTTGCCGATTTATAGTGCCACATTTTACGAGGAAGTGGTTGTTGGCTTGGTGGGATGAGCATTTCGCACTTTGTTATTATAAGTTTATGATCGGACGAACCAAGTGGAGCATCTAGTTGAATTGTGTACGAGTCAGGATTTGTGGTTAGGAACAAGTCTAAAAGCGCTGCAAATTCGCCCCTTTCTGAGATACGGGTAGGTTCATCGACAAGCTGCGTTAGACCACAACTTATGGCAAAATGTTTTATGTTTCACGGTTCATGTTTCTTTGATGTGCGGCCTGCCTTAGTTATGCAGAATCCTGTAAAACTGCAGAGTGGAGAGATGCCATAGAGAAGGAAATTAAATCTCATGAAAACTCTTAAACCTGGATTCCAGCAGAACTTCCTGAATTTCAAACAAACACGAAGTGGATTTTTAAAATAAAAGAAGATGGTACAAAGAAAGCAAGATTGGTTGTAAGTGGTTTCCAAGTACCATATAATGAAAGCGATGAATTCATTTATGCCTCTGTGTGTAGGTTAGCTACAATAAGATTACTTATATCAGTGTCTTTTCAGAATCGTTGGAAACTGCATCAGATTGATGTTCCTACTGCATTTCTAAATGGATTCCTAGAAAATGATGTGTACATTAAAACACCTGAAGACTTGAATACAGATGCAAAATATTGAAAATTGAGAAGTGCTTTATATGGAGTTAGAAATATTGGAACATGAAATTTAATCAATGAATCATGACAAGTTTAAATTTTCGAAAATCATAATATGACTATTGTTTATTTGTGAATGACAACATATTCCTAGTATTATTTGTTAATGATGCTCTGATAATTAGACCAGAAGATCAAATCAAGAAACCAACAACTTGTTTCGGGAATTTAAAGTCAAATCAATGTATGAAGTGAAAACATTTCTTGGAATGGATTTGAAGAGGAGTCACAATGATATTGAAATTACCCAGAAAAAAAAATGATTAAAAGGCTATCAGAAGAATTTAAAATCGACGAGATTCGGTCATTTGCCATTTCAATGGAAGTCAATTTTCAAATGGATATAAATACTACAGTGATAGATAATGTTCCATGTTCCATAATGAAGATTGTTACGTAGTTTAATGTATCTATCCAGGGGCAGATGGGGTAGATCAGACCTGACCTGGACTTCTCATGCCTACCGGTCCCATGAGCCTTTGCAAAAATAAAAGTGGGACTAAATTTAGGACTATGTTTTTGAACTAGGAACAGGTGTTCCGATTAAATACCTATGTTTCGGATGTTTGAGAGTTCAAGCGTTCTGAACTATCCAATGTTGATTCAATCGGTTCATATTCTGTGGTCGGGAGTAGGGACGTTTTTCGAACTATTAATTTTTGCTCTGACATTAGATTTATTCACAAATCACAAATTAATTACTCTGGACACCAATGCCGTGGCGCCATCTATTAGCAGTGAGTTATAGGAGTGGCATTTGATAATTTTGATATTAAGTAAATAAAAAATTTGAAATAAAACCATTCTTGTGCACGATTTCCTACGAGCACCAACGAGTTTTGAGTGTCCTAACTAACCAATCCTTTGTGTGCGCAGACCCTTGGTAAGAATCAGTCTCAGGTCAGAGCAAGGCAACACCCCTCAACAAACTTCATAGGTAGCAACATACCAAGAAGAAAATACCACAAGGCAAACTGGACTGATACTTAAATGAAGTTAAGCTCAAAATTGACCCCCCAGTGTGGAACACACTATCGGACGTCATCCAAGAGACTGCCAACAAGCACATACCAAAATCATCAGATAATGGCAGGAAAAAAACTGGAAATCTCTATAAGGAACTACAGAACTAACCCATCTATGGAAAAATTCATTAAAATGAAATATATCAATGCAAAAACAAGACGTTTTCTCAGGAAAAAGAAAAAACAAAAAATCATGGCCTACTGTTCATCAGTCAATAGAGACTCTAGCATCAAGGTAGTTCGATCCAAAGTTAAAAAATTTGCTGGCAAGCACGAAAACCAATCCCAAACAATTACCACACACGATATAAGAGCGAAAATTCTTGATAGGCTGGCAGCTTTTGCAACCCAGCCAGCAGTCAATATCCAAGATGCAACAGAACATATCCCATTCACTTTGGGTGAATTCTACGCTGCACTAAAGGAAAAAAAAAGACAGCCTCGATACTTGACGAAATCTCATACTCCATGCATGATCTGAAATCTCCCAAAAAAAGCCAAACATCAACTCCTATACATAAACAACAACCTTATGAGGGGTGACCCCATACCTGATCAGTGGAAACAGTTTCTCATCCATGCCATATGCAAACACAACAAAAATCCAGAAAATCCATACAGCTACCGTCCCATTATACTGGCGTCATGTATGCTGAAACTTTTGAAAATCTTTATAAAAAATCGATTAGAATGGAAAATGGAAAACAAAAAAATGTTTTCGTGGCAACAAACAGCATACTGAAGAAAAAAAAAAGGGATTTAATGATTGGCATACATTGTCTCCTACATAACGCTCGCTTTCAATGAGGGGTGTACAGTTCTCGCAGTTTTCTTGGATATCAAAGCAGCGTATGACAATGTCAATCTGCAGAAGTTATATACAAAAATGACCAGGCTCCACATCTCCACAGAAGTCTGCAACCTAATACATGGAATCTTAAGAAATGGAAAAATTTACATTAGAAACACAAAAGGACTGCTGATTGGCCTTAAAGTGGTGAACTCGGGTCTTCTGCAGGGCTCGCCTCTAAGTACAATCTTGTTCAATATACTATACATACAGGAATTAATCGAATCATTGTCAGAGGAAACCCAAATTATGGGATATGCAGATGATTTTGTAAGATTCTTAAAGGGAAAATCCGCCTTGCAGATGGCAAATAGTATAAATTTCTCCCGGAATGTCTATGGAAAATGGTTGAGGGAAAGCTGTCTGAAACTGTCATATGATAAATGCGAGCTGGTTCACTTTGCTAAAGGGAACAAAAGAAACTAAATTCAACCCATCAAAATCAATGGTAACATCATTTCCCTCCGAATAACCGCTAAGTATCTAGGTATACATCTGGACAACCGTCTAAACTTTAATAAACACACAGAATATTAGAATATATAATACAGAAGGCAAAAAAAAGGACTCAATGTAATTAAATTTTTCCGCAGAGTATGGTGGGGTTCTGACCCTCTAACTCTGAGAATGGTCCTACAAGGACTGGTAATATCCCATCTGGATTCTGGAGTTTTTCTGGTGAAGCCACTCTCGAAAGAGAACCAGAAAATCAACAGTGTCTGCAATGCAGGACTCAGAGTCATCCTGGGATGCATGAGGTCTACTCCCGTAAATGCACTAATGGCGGAGGCAGGAATGGTGGATATAAAATACAGAAGAAGATGGCTCGCTGTCAAATACTTGTCCAAAATCTACAGTTTCGAAAATCACCCACTTGTAATCATTTAAAAAAAAAAAATAAATATCACAAGATGTACAATGCAAATTACTACTTCCTGCCATATGGAAGAAGGATGAAACGGAGAACTGCCTTGCCATGTTTGGAAATGGAAAGGGAAGTCCAGTTAAGCTATTTGCCGGTCATAGAACTCCATTTGGAAAAACACGGAACCAATACTATCAATAGATTCAGGGAAAGTATCGGCTCTCTGGACTGCTCATACACACAAATCTACAGGGATGGCTTTAGGAAGGATGGAAAAACTGGATATGGTATTCACTGCTACAGCAAAAAATACAACTTTTCTGCAAGATTGCAGGACGAAATGGATATCTGCACAGCGGAGATGGTAGCCATAAATGAGGGAGTGTGCTATGCTCTCCAAAAAAACATACAAAATGTACTGATCCTGACAAATTCAAAAAGTGCAATAGACAAGTTGAAAAGAACTTACATCAATCCTGACAGCAGTGAAATAGCAGATAAAAAGGAATAGAAATAGATTAAAACCAAAAGACTTATTGTAGAAGCTAATTTTGCAAACAACATTAAGTGAGCATGGATTCCGGGCCATGCTGGCCTGGTTGGTAATGAATGCGCTGACAAGCTTGCCAACATATGAAGAATTCTAAATGTTCCAAGGGCGCTCCCACTGGAACCATCTCACATGCTTCCTCTGATCAAAGCAAAAATAAATTGCGAACATGCAGTCTCTTGGAAGAACTCACTCAATAAAAAGGGGAATTGGTACAGGCAGGTGCAAATTGAGTTCCCATCGAAAACATGGTTCAAAGATCTTCAATACACACATAAACGGCAAATCACGTCCATCACTAGGATGCGTACAGGGCACTGTTCGACAGGATAGCATCTTTGCAGGATAGGGGTAAGAAAGAATCCGTACTGTGAGTATGGCCAGATTGAAAACCTGGACCACATGTTCCTGGAATGCCCTATTAATCTTTTTTTATTTCAAAAACATTTCCACGGCGGAGGGGAAGTTACTAGTGATAGGGGATAATAACAGAATATACTAAATGAGTCCAATGGCAATAACACAAAAATAAAGTCGAAAGGCAATCGCAATCACGCCCCTGCCATAGTTTTCATATGATGAATAGGGCTGCGTATGGTCAGTCAATCTCAACACTCAGTCATAGACAAACATATTTTAATTAAAATTTATTTAAAAAACAACAATAAAATACAATTTTTGCGAGTACAAAATATTCCTAATCTAAACTGATGTATTTTGAACGAACATATTTTGAACTGTCGCTTTATAATCTGAAACTTTCTGAAGACACAATATGAGCCTCATCATGCACCCATCGATTTGAGCTTTAATACCAGCCGGATTCATTTTCCCTAAGGTATCTTGCAATTGAATCAAACGTTCATCTAATTGATTGATTTCATCAAGAGTAAGCGGTGCTTCCATTTTGGTCCATAACTCGTCAACTTCTCGACTGATTCTCATCACCAATTCAACACTTTGCATTTTTGCCTCAATAGCATCAACCAAATTTTGAATTCTTCTATACAGCTGCAATACTTTAGGATATTGAGGTGAAGACTTTGGGATATTGAGGCTTCCAATTTTTAGAGTAAACGTATCTAAAGCATCGTCAAAGTCTTGCAATTGCTTCATTTGGCTTGTTTCATCTAGTTGGCCTTCGATTTTGGAAATTTCATTTTCAATAACATCCAAACTAGTATCTTCAACTTTTGTTTCTGCAGTGTGTAAACTCATAATTTTGTTAAATAAAGCAATGTATTTTTCAATGCAAGCATTTTTTCTTGGAACCAGGTCATTGATGATTTTTAAGCTTTGCAATGCTTTCTTCAAATTAAGCATTCTAGTTTTGATGACATCAATATTGTTATAGTTGCCAGATAATAATAAATGTTCTATTGTTTCAAGTTCTTGTTCCAACTCAACAATTTCACGTGTTTGTTCAGCACGTTCGTCCAACATTTGTCCAAGTATATGCAAGTCTTTCAATAATTTGATTATACGTTTCTGTATGCTTTCGTGTTCGGTTTCAAATTTGTCAAGCTGCAACATTAGTCTTGTACTAGTTTCATTGAGTTCGTAATATTTGTTTTCGGTTTTCAAGCCGATAAATGAGCTCATTTGTGGAGCAAGTTCGCTTACTTTAGCTTCAATGTCGTTGATTTTTTTGATTTCTTCAACCTCAACTGTTTCCATTTGTTTCAGTTTTTCTACTAGTCCATCAGTCTTGTGTTGGACGCTAGTTTTTCTATTTTTCAATGTTTCGTCGCTGATATTAAAATGATGCTCTTTCAATTTATTTTGGACTGCTTGTAATTCCTTTGCCATTGTTTTCAAGTCTCGTTGTTGGTTATTGTCGAAAAGATTTTCCAACGAGTCAAGTTTTCGTTCGATGCTTAAAACGTAATCAACATCTATGGCTCCTTTTTCCAAAGCTTCTACGTAATATTGCATTTCGTTTAGTAAGGTAGATTGACGGGTGTGTAGGTCAGTGCCGCGCATGAAACGATATTTGTGTAGTTTGCTCATAAGGTTTTTAATGTCTTGTGCTAGTTTGTAGTATTTGTGAACGTCTTGCTCGTTATTGGGAGCTGTAATTTCGGTTTTAATTGCTGAGAAGGCTTTTTCAAATTGCTCAATTTCCTTGTTTACGTCGTTTTTGGGATAGGTTTGTACTTCTGCGTGTAAGTCTCTTTCAGGCCATTGCACCATAGGCTGTTGTCCTAAAGCTACTTTAGCGTCAACTACATTTTTTAAAGTTTGGGTTTCGTTGGAGAATATTTCCATTTCTTTGGCTAAATTTTCGTTTGACCTAGCAGGTATTTGTCCAAGCTCTAGAGACACTAAGTCTAATCTGCTTTGCAAACCAATAAATGCATCTACGTTATTTTCAGCAGTTTTATCAATTTCTCGTTTAATCTCGTTTAAATCTCGTTTGATTTTAGCCATTCCTGCTTGTTCTTCTGTTTTAGTTTCATCGGGTTTTGCATGGAAACTTTGTGCCAAGGAGGAGCGGCTTTCTAAGATCTTTAAAAGCCTTTCAGTTTCTTTAACAATTTCATCTGAGGACATTTTGTCTTCTACTTGTTCTCCAACATCCAATAAAAGCTTATTCAAATCTCTTTCAATGTTATTATAGACAACTCCTTTATAAGTACCAGAAAATCTTTTGACTTTATCACTTAACATGTTTAATTTTAATTTGTATTGCTTTACATTTTCGTTTTCATGTTTTCTGTAATAAGTTCCATTCTTTTGCAAAACCTGAATGCTATTGCACACTTCATCAAGTAACTCAAGTTTTTCTTGTTGCAACGACTCAAACTGTGTTGGAATATTGAAATTCTCTAGATTTATTTGAGCTTTTGTTAAATCTTCTTTTATTTCGTCAAACTCTTTGTCGTATCTTGTACCGTTAAAGGTTTGCACCCTTCTGGAAAACAAATTGATTTTCTCTTTGAATTCTGCCAATATAAGTTTATGCAAAAGCTCAACAATTTCATTTGCAACCAATACTGCGTTATTTCTTACAGTTTGATTATTGTCGTTTAAATATGGATCCAAGTTTTTGCGATATTGTTCCAATTTATCTCGTAGCAAGTTCTTATTGTGGCTCTCATCGATTTTTTCCTTAATATAATTAACTTGCATTTTCACTTCTTCAATTTTTGAAAATCTATTATTCATATTCGTTTGTTGAATACTTTGTATATTTGGCGTAGATAAGTTGTAAATTTTAGCTTTGGTTTTAATTATTTTGCTTGCGTCAAGCTGGTCCAAGCTCTGATAGCTTTTTCTGTTGTTCAATTTCGGCACTGATTGTGAAAGTTTCCTATTCAAATTACTGAAAGGCAGATTAATGTCGCATTTATCAGCAATTTGTGCTCTTATTTCGTTAATCGATTGTTGCATTTCTTGCAGGAGACTGTTGATGCGTAATAATGTTAATTTTGAATAAGCGTTTACGTTGAAATTAGTTTGTATGTTACTCCAATGGTTTACAAATTGATCGATTACTGTGTGTTCTGTGTCCAAATGTTTTCTTAAAACTACATTTTCTTCAACAATTTCCTCAATTATTTGCTCGTCTGTTTCCAATTTCTTACCAAAACTCTCTAGTTTATAGTTGATCTTGTTTAATAAATCTTTTTTGCGTGATTTAGTTGTTTCATTAATTTCTTCTAGATTTTGTATTGAATTTCTCAAACTAACCAAATTAATAACTATTTCTTCAGCATTTTTATTTGGATCAAAATTTCTTACAATTCTCTCATAATTGTGCAAAGAATTTGAAAATTTTGAATCAAACTCCCTTTTAGCCATTATACGATCCAAATTATTAACAGTTTCTGTAATTTTTTGGTTCAACAACACCACTCTGCCCTTGACTTCATTATCAACCATATCAATTTTAGATAGTTTTTGATTGTCTTCAACAATATTGTTTCTGATTGCTGCAAATTCAGTAGAATTTTTCTCTTTGATTAGTTTATCCAGCAAGGATTCGTTCTCAGCCAAATGAACTTCTATGTCTGTTAGTTCAGTCATTGCTTTGTCTTTTCTGTATTGCTTTGAAGAGCTGTTGTCTTTTTTCAAGGTGCTTAAAGCTTCAGAGACTTTGCGATAATAATCCATAATTTTCTTGTCAATGTCTTGCTTGCGTTTTTCCAAAGGAGTACCTTTTTCTGTATGAATCTTTTCCATATCTTCTACAAGTAATCTGATGGTAGTCAAATAAACCCTTAGTTGTTTAGAGTCTTGATTTTTAATTGCTGTAGCTATTTGAGTTTTTAGTTCTTCAACTTTAGCTTCAATATTCCTTAAATTTGGCACACTGCTTCTATTAACTGAAGCCAAATCCATTGTAGCTCTCTTATTGCTGCTTCTCAATGAGCCTAGCGAACTAGTTCTTCGATGACTGCCTGGCACGTGAACAAACGAATTACTTTCAACAGCTGCCCCATCCAAATCTGCAGGTTCGATTTTCAAAACTTCCGCCATTGCATCTGATAGATTTTTCAATGTGTTTTCTATTGCTTGTCTATTGGCTTTGCCATTCAGAGATTTGACTTCGTTACTGTAATGAGCCAGGGTGCCTGTTAAGAATTCTTTGCGGGCTTGTGAGATGTTTTGCGCTGATGTTTTTATGGTGGTTCTTAAGGCGTTTACTTCTTTAGAAATGGTGCGAAGGCGGTCTTCGGGTTTTGATTGTGGATTGCCCATAATCTGTAACAGAAAAATTGAAATTTAGTTCAATTGATTTGCAAATTTATATCTCTAGAACCCAGTATACAATGGAACTTTGAGACAGCTCTGTTCCAACTGACGAGCATGATACAAGAAACCGAGAAAGAAGTCGCATGATGCGAATTAAGGGTTTTCCCTGATTGAAAAGGGTGTTTTTACAAAGCCCTTTTATTGAAAATTAACATTTATTACGAGAACACAATGTAAATTGAAACTAATTCTAACATTTAATTAAGCTAAGCAATATTTAATATATAAATTATTGTAGGCAATAATTTATATATTAAATATTGCTTAGCTTAGCAATTGAATTTAATCAAAATTAGGTTGCTATATCGGGTTGTCACTGCTGAACCATGAGTTCAATGATATTCGGTGGTATTCCGGATATATAGGGTAATTTTCTGCATCTTTGGATAGGTATGACGGTACGAAGTTTTTCTTTGGCGGCTTTTAACAAAAAAGTGAATGAGGTCGTGGGTATTACTCCGAATCTTTGCTCGTCCTAGCTCGAGGGGAAGTATTCCTGGGTTGTCCTTTAGGTCCTGGATCAGGAGGTTCTGAGCGACGGCTGAGGAACATCAGTAAGGAATTTCTAGAGTTATTTCCTGGAAGATTTTCAATAATCTCTTTATGTATAGTCGTGTCTTGAGTATCAATGGTCACAATATTTCTGTCTTGGAAGAGAATCTTCGGAGTAGTTTGTTCCGCTTTACAGTTTTCTCGGTGTAGATCTGTGTGCTAGGTTTGTAGGTGGGGGATGGGGGGAAATTGCCTCGATATGTTTCTTTTTCCTATGTACTTTTCTTTGGATACATGTAGTTTTTGATTCAATTTCCTGTAGATAGTCTTCGTTTTTTCCCTGTGTTGCTGGATATAATTATTTATGAGTGTTTTCCTGACGTCAACGTCCAACGGTTCCTGCGCATGCAGGTGACCTTATCCATTGGTCGCATGTTTGTCATTGAATGGATAAAATTATTATATTCGAGAAGTGCATATGGCATGCGTTCTTTAACCCTTAAGGACTTTTTATTTTCTCGAAGTATCCTCAGGTGTCGATAATGGTAGAGTGGAATCTTTCTATCATCCCGTTGGATTGTGGATTATCAGGAGTAGTATTATGGGTGGATATCTTATATGTATCTAGGTAATCTGTATAAGAAAATTCTCAAATTCTGCTCCATTATCGGATACTATTATCTATGGTATTCCATGATGAGTTATGAAGATCAGGAGGGCATCAAGAACATTCACTGAATTTGATCCCTCTATGTGGTAGGCTTGTCCATATTCTGAGAAGGAATCAATAATTGTTAAAAACTTTTATCCTCCGGCTTGAAAGGTGTCTAGATGAATAATTTTCAAAGGTCTAGTCAGTGTTGGAGTATTCATGAATTTAGGTTGGGCTGGATTCCTATCGCAATTGTTTGACTGTTTTTCCTTGATGAACCTGGATTATTCCACTTTCTTCGCTACTGACGTCTATTGTTCTGGTATAACAATATGTATATAAGAAAGGCAACTTTCTTTTCCAGGAACTCGCATTTGCCCATTTCAATTTTTAATCCAGTTTCTGAGACGTTGAAAAAACACAATAATATCGTCCATGTGCTCTAAGCTATTTTCTCCTTGGAGGCCTTTCAAAACATTATCCATCATCCTCTGGAACGTAGCTGGAGCGTTTTTTAGTCCAAATGGCATCCGGACATACTCTGGCTTTTTTCGACATTGAAAGCAGTTTTGCATATATCTTCCTTAGCCATTTCGATTTGGTGGAAACCACTTGCCAGGTCCAAGGTTGTGAAGTACTGGCATCTACCAAGTTTGTCCAAGATATCTCTTATTGGGTATTTATGGTCGATAGTTTTCTCGTTTACTTTCCTATGGTCCACTACTCTCCGCCATTTTATTTTTCCGGAGGTGTCTGTTTTTTTTTGGAACTATCCATATCGGGGAAGACCAAGGTGCGACTGGCTTGAGCACAACATGGAAGATGGTTGATGGTTGATGGATGGTTTTCACTTTCTCTTTACGGATATGTGGATATCTATATGACTTGGTGTACCGGGTGATTGTCTATATTTTGCACCCACACTTATCTTACCTGTTTGAAGAGATACCCAGAAATGTCAAATGTGAAAGTTGTAGGTAATGTCAGAAAGTTTCCAACGATGTTAGTTACAAGTATACAGGGTGTGTCACAAGAGTGTGGCAGAGCAAAGTTATACTTTTTTAAATGGAAAACCCCGTATATTATTGTCCCGTTGGATTAGCCTTTCAAACCTGATTCCAAATATATTACGTTTTTTTAAGTTTATTCTTAATAGTCCAGGAGAAAATAGGACTAGGAGTAGAATAATTGCATTTTTATTGAAAATGGTGAAGTAAAGAGACCACCAGCAAAATATAAAGGTAATCATTTATGTAAAAAATCCATATTATTTTTTCAAAATAGGATATTCAGAGACTGGACTATGAGGAATAAACCTAAAAACGTAGTATATTTGGAATCAGGTTTGAAAGGCTAATCCAATGGGACAATAATATACGAGGTTCTCCATTTAAAAAAGTATAACTTTGCTCCGCCACACTTTTGTGACACACCCTGTATACTTGTAACTACAACTTTCACACTTGACATATCTAGGTGTCTCTTCAAACAGGTGAGATAGGTGTGGGTGCAAAATATAGGCAATCATCCGGTACACAGCATATTCCTCTGACAACCTTGTCGTTGAACATTATCTAATATTACCTATGAAAGTCTTTCTCATTTTCTTCTTTTTTCAGACTCAATTTATTTCTTCTATAACAATTTCCTTCATTTATTGAGACCTAAGCTTCGTTTTTTTCGTAACAAGGTTACGTGAATTTATTTTTAGAAATTTTTACTTCTAATTCTAAATCCTTTTCAAACAATCTTCAGGCAACGCTGCTTACAAAGAGAGTATTTGTTTATGTTTTGCTCCGATTGAAAAACTGTATTTTTGAATTGAATAATTTGTGTGGTGTATTCTACATTGGATTATTGGTTGTGCCCCATCTATTGTACAAGTATATATTTGTGTTTTTTCTGCCCGAAAAGCATAAGTTGGCGACAAGTCTTGCGGGCGATCACCTTGTGTGAGCTCTATTGTGTTGGGTACTACTTTTTGCTTGCAAAAATTGTATTCGATCGCAGTACGGGGATGCCAGGATAATGCTCCCAATAATGTGGATCAGATGAAATCTTTCCTTGAGAACATAGCAACAACAAACATTAATTGATGAGTTTGACCAGAAACTGAAGCTTATCCATAGCACTTTTAATGAAAAATCCGAAAAAATTCAACAAACATTTGAAAACTCTGGATACTCAAATAACGCCAAAGAAGCTGCTGTTGATGAAGCAGAATATAAAAATCCAAGTAAAAAACAACAGTTAATCACTGCAGAAAATGTTGAAACTGCAATAAATAGTGCAATGGGGACACTGTATAGCAATAGGGCCAAATCATCTAACAAACCCAAATTATCAACTGGGACTTGTAAAGGTGCAGTTGAGGAATTTTAGGGGCGAAGCCAGAAGATGTGGTTCTACATTGGCCATAGTTGTAAGATCATCTAATGAGGCATCTGTTCTAAGATATATAAAATCAAAAATTGCATTAGATACTGAGGATCAGATTGTGGTGAAAAAACTAAAATCCGGTGACACAAACTGCTTCAAACTGGGCATTGATTCGAAATTCTGTGATAGCCTTAACACCGAATCATTTTGGCCAGAAAACATGATTTTTTGGAAATTCGTCTTTGAAACTGGGGTACCCGGCTTTGGCATTAGAAGTAATACTGCGAAATCTGAAATTGAATAACGGACAAGAAATAAAACAATGTACTGAATACAAATATTTGGGCATGAAAATCTTACATGAGGGAACCGTAGACGAAGCAATTAAAGATCGGAATATACAAGGACGCAAGGCAATATCCCTACTGAATGGTATACTGTGGGATCAAAATATCAACAAAACTAACAAAACGAGATTATACAGGGTGACTCAGAGTAAATTTCCCTTTTTAACATGTTATAAAAACAAAATAAAACGTGTTGGGGTAATTTAAATAAAACATTTTGGAAGTACAGAAATGCGGATTTTATTATTTAAACACAATGTTATCCAAATGTCAACCATTCCTCACATAGCACTCCTCCAATGATGCTCTTAAATGTTGGAAGACTCGCTGACACATTTCAATAGGAATGTTGAAAATGGCCTCTCGAATGTTGCGTTTTAACTGCTCCATAGTGGCTGGGGGATCGGCGTAGGTAGACGATACTCTCCAAATATCCCCACAAAAAAAAGTCTAAGGGCGTAAGATCTGGTGATCTTGGTGAAAAAACGATGCCCCCATTTTTCGAGATTACAGTTCCTCATAGGAATCGTTCGATTTGAAAAACGCCTATCTAATCTAACTTAGAGCTTTATGAATCTTTCTGTAAAATAAATGAAAATGTAATGGAGAAGACTGTATGTAATGGTGTTGTAATTTATGGTGAGTTTAACATTTCAAGCGTCGAATTGGAAAATGATGAGTATCGGACTAGGGCGGTTGGTGTGTTGTCACCACAGTGTAGAGTTCTTTCAGACTTTTTTGCATACCTAAATTTAAATCAGAAAAACACTATTGCTTATAGTTTTGGTGCTTATTTAGATCTAAAAGTGACCAATGTTCACTCTGTGAACGTTTCATGCATGTCTGAACCTCTACTACCCCTTGACAGCTACCACCCGGCTCTGTCCTTCAGTGTTTGTATCGGTCATCAATCTGAGACCTTAAACTCTTCACATGAATATTTTGATTTTGAAAAATGTAATTACAACAGTGTGAATAATTTTCTTGGTACTTTTGACTAGTCTCAGGTTCTGCGCTCAGATAATGTAAATACTGATGTAAACATATTTTATGACATAGTTTATTATAGCTTTGAAATG